TTGACATGCACGAATTAAATGATGACATGCACGAACGAAATGATGACATGCACGAACGAAATGGTGACATGCACGAATTAAATGATGTCATGTACGAACGAAATTATGACATGCACGAATTAAATGGTGAAATACATGAATGAAATGATGACATGCACGAATGAAATGATGACATGTACGAATGAAATGATAGAAATGATTACAAGTACGATTGAAATTAAAAAAATGTGCCAACGAAATGAAATAATTATAGGCACGAATGAAATGGTGACATACATGAATGAAACGATGACATGTACTCATGAAATGATTACACGCATGAATTAAATGATGACAAGCACGAATGAAATGTAACATGTACGAATTTAATGAAGAAATGTGCGAATGAAATGATGACATGCACCAATGAAATGATGACATGTACGAATGAAATGGTGACATGTACGAATATATTAGTACACGTTTTTTGATTATTATTATTCATACGTCATTTTTGTTGTTCTCTGTGGGGTGGTTAAAACCCACAGGCTATCTAGTCATAGTCGGTCGAATCGAAGTCACTACTTGCCCGGACAACGTTCCCGCACATGACTATTATGTATGTAAACTGTTATCACATTTAAACATTATCTTCAAAGTGTTATAACCTGCATATATAAATTGAAGCTATGTAAGAAAGTACTTGTCAATTTTGTAGGAGTTACAGTTACGTTTGTTTGTAACAGATTGAATCAATCTAACTATAGTTGTTTCATTTACAGGCAGACATTCACGTGTAACAGTTACACTGCACTTTGCATTAAGCTGCCGATATTATCTATCACGTCTATCAAATAAACTCTTTGACTATACCATCGGAGCTCTTGAAAAACATACAATGCTGAAGCACAATAACGGATTCACGAGTGCATTATTTCGTTTAAAAAAACTGAATCTGAATCCTTCAGAGACACGCCTGAAAAGATGTATTTCTACAATGGAACTGATATTATTAGGCATTGGTGGTATTCTCGGCTCTGGTGTATATGTACTCACTGGTAGCGTTGCCAAGGACATTGCCGGGCCAGCTGTTACAATTTCGTACATGATCGCATGTTTTCCGACACTTCTAGCTGCAATCTGTTTTGCGGAATTCAGCGTTAGGATTCCTCAGACAGGATCGGCATATATATACACGTATGTGACAATAGGAGAAGTGTGGGCATTCGTTGTAGGGTGGATTTTCACTCTAGATATATGTGTTGGAAATGCGGCATCAGTACGCACCATTAGTGGTTACATAGACGAGCTGATTGGATCTAAAATACGAAACTTTACACTTGAGTACATAGCTGGTGGACCAATTAACCACCCTCCGTTTTCACAATATCCCGATTTGTGTGCATTATTTGTGGTGATCATGATAACAATCATATTAGCCATGGGGATCAGCATTTCCGTGAAAATTACCTCCTTATTTACCTGTGTTAGTCTCTGTGTTATGTTGTTTATTTCATGTATGGGCTTTTATCTTTCGGATATAAAGAATTGGAAGACAGAGGGTGGATTTGCACCTTACGGATTTTCTGGAATTATATCTGGAGCGGTATCGTGTGTTTACTCCTACACAGGCTTCGATGTAATTACCACAGCTAGTGAAGAAACCAGGAATCCAACTAAAAGTGTACCGATAGCTATATGTGTATCCCTTGTAGTTGTAATGCTGGTATATGTAACGGTTTCTGTTACGTTAACACTCATGGTACCATACTACGATATTCAACCAGATGCATCATTTGCGGCTGTTTTTCAACAACACGGATTTGTTTGGGCGAAATACACTGTAGGAATTGGTGCTGTGTGTGGAGTTGGTATTTCAGTATTTATAAATACAATTTGTATTTCCAGGATTATTTATGTGATGGCTGTGGATGGTCTTCTTTTCCCTGCTTTGGCCAGAATTGAACAGTGTAACCAAGTCCCAGTAGTTGCAACAGTGACGTGCAGTGCTTTCAGCGCAATGCTAGCTGTTTTCTTAGACACGGATTTTCTAGTGAAATGTAAATCAGTCGGTTGTCTAGCGGGTTATATAATTACATCAGCGTGTGTATTAATTCTACGGTATCGACCTATAAGAAACAACGACTCTATAACTGAGAATGGTTCTATAGCTGCAGCACATGAAGACAACCCTTTGCTGGGACAAACCACTTCATCCTGCACTGCGGCCGATAGAGCACTCAACTACGTGCTTTCTGTTGGTGTTTTTAAACATATTACACACGGTAAGCTTCCTGGATTGGCTATTCTTCTGATGACGATATTTATGTTGACTTTATCAGCTGTTATCAACTTCGGCACCGATTCTTGGAACCCTTGGGCCATATGTATTGCAATTGTATTGGGATTGGCTGTGATTATCTGCTTCACTGTAATATCTATGCACAAACAAGAAGGAACACGACTCAAATTCCAGGTAGGTTCACGAAATACTACGACCTAGGTTTTAACCAAATGTAATCTGTTTCAATTATAGTGACGAACAATGTAGTGTAGTTTACAATGATTTACGTGTTGCATAGACACACCACTATCACTTTTGTGATTTCTCTAAAGTGAAATATGGGGACACATCCCTTAGAATAGTTAACTCTAAAAAAGTTCTCTGTTCTTTCAAAACCCTCTTTTACAAAAGATTGGCCATTTCGTTTTGTATTCATTAACTGTCAGTAATCCATCGGAGATTGATTTGTAAAATTCATCAGTGGTGTGCTCGTTTTCATTTGTATATAACGCGCTACCAAGGCATGCACTTTTTTTAGTTTAACATCATGTCTTTTTGTTGTATTTCTGTTACGTCATTTGACTATATGCGTCTGCCTTGGAGTGAATATATGTATCATATCATAATATCAACTAGTTCGTTCCAATGAAATATCATATATGGACATGGTTGAAATAAAATAACTTATATTTAGTATGTCTGTGCCAAAAAAAATAAACCACAAGATAATTACAAAAGACAACTTTAAACTGAAGTTATCGTAATACATTGTCAGTAATCTAAACTTCACGAAGCTTTGATATATATATATATATATATATATATATATATATATATATATATATATATATACATACTCACCGGTGATACAGGTAACCCGCTTACATACATGACCTCCATATGTACCAATCCTTGTTTGCCCAATCAATTTT